CCCCCCACCACCTCCTTCAATCACAATCATCTCCACTTCTATTCCAGATGGATGGACATTTTGTCCACCAAAAGGCAAGGCAAAGAAACAGGCTATAAGAAGATATCAATGACTTCATTCGCCCGCAAATTGACCAGCGCCTGATTCCACTGCGTGGCAACACAGATGTTTCTTGAACAAACGAAGTAGTCTGATGTTACCCACCGGATGATTCAGACCACACAGACAAAATGTTTCTTTAACAAACGAAGTAGTCTGATGTTACCCACCGGAACATTCAGACGGAATAGAAAAATGTTTACTGTACGCAAAGAACACTATGTCACTCTCTTATCTGACAGAACAGTCAGAGGTTATCCTCATTAGATTCAGACAAAACTGAAAAATCTTTCCAAAATAAACAAAATAGTCCAATGATAACTGCCTGAGGTTGAGACAAAATGGAGAAGTTTCTTGGACCAACAGAATAGTCCGCTTCCAGGCCACAAGCCACACACACATCCTTTTACCCATCACGTTCATCTAGTGCACCGTCTATGTGCACAGGCATGATGGAGGCATTCACATGATATAACAATATATATCTGTCAACATCCAACAGACAATCCAGCCCGTAGTTTTGCCACAATCGCAGTTCCCCATGTGTCTATGTCCAAGAGTTGTCTACAACGCCTTGCTCTAAAAATCCATTTTGTCTCAAAACAAGAAAAGTGGACGATCATCCGACTACAGTGGACAATCACATAACCAATGATAGATTAATATTATCCAAGGAATATGGACACAGTCACCTCTACTGTTGTGCCAAGGCAGAGCGACGTATCTGCACTTTTTATGATTTTGAGTTAACTCGCGCTGCCATTGGAAATATGGGCATGGCCCTTCATTACGTCTGTTTGCCATAGTGAAATCTCCTATTTGTAGCGCAGATACGTCTGTTTGCCATAGTGAATTCTCCTATTTGTAGCGCAGATACGTCTGTTTGCCATAGTGAAAGCTCCTATTTGTAGCGCAGATACGTCTGTTTGCCATAGTGAAATCTCCTATTTGTAGCGCAGATACGTCTGTTTGCCATAGTGAAATCTCCTATTTGTAGCGCAGATACGTCTGTTTGCCATAGTGAAATCTCCTATTTGTAGCGCAGATACGTCTGTTTGCCATAGTGAAATCTCCTATTTGTAGCGCAGATACGTCTGTTTGCCATAGTGAAATCTCCTATTTGTAGCGCAGATACGTCTGTTTGCCATAGTGAAATCTCCTATTTGTAGCGCAGATACGTCTGTTTGCCATAGTGAAATCTCCTATTTGTAGCGCAGATACGTCTGTTTGCCATAGTGAAATCTCCTATTTGTAGCGCAGATACGTCTGTTTGCCATAGTGAAATCTCCTATTTGTAGTGCAGATACGTCTGTTTGCCATAGTGAAATCTCCTATTTGTAGTGCAGATACGTCTGTTTGCCATAGTAAAATATCCTATTTGTAGTGCAGATACGTCTGTTTGCCATAGTGAAATCTCCTATTTGTAGTGCAGATACGTCTGTTTGCCATAGTAAAATATCCTATTTGTGGTGCAGATACGTCTTCCTGCCTTTGACACAAGATGCAGAATGGGTATGGGCGTCCATTTAAACGTAGATACAAAAATTAATCATTTTTGCTGATACGTCGGTCTGCCTTGGCATGGCAATCTAGCCCTCAGCCGAAGACCACCCCTCACCCTCTCACCTGGATGAAGGCTTTGATCTCACCCTCTCACCCTCTCACCTGGATGAAGGCTTTGATTTCACCCTCTCACCTCGATGAAGGCTTTGATCTCACCCTCTCACCTCGATGAACGCTTTGATCTCACCCTCTCACCTCGATGAAGGCTTTGATCTCACCCTCTCACCTGGATGAAGGCTTTGATCTCACCCTCTCACCCTCTCACCTGGATGAAGGCTTTGATTTCACCCTCTCACCTCGATGAAGGCTTTGATCTCACCCTCTCACCTCGATGAACGCTTTGATCTCACCCTCTCACCTCGATGAAGGCTTTGATCTCACCCTCTCACCTGGATGAAGGCTTTGATCTCACCCTCTCACCCTCTCACCTGGATGAAGGCTTTGATTTCACCCTCTCACCCTCTCACCTCGATGAAGGCTTTGATTTCACCCTCTCACCTCGATGAAGGCTTTGATCTCACCCTCTCACCTCGATGAAGGCTTTGATCTCACCCTCTCACCTCGATGAAGGCTTTGATATCACCCTCCCACCCTCTCACCTCGATGAAGGCTTTGATCTCACCCTCTCACCTCGATGAAGGCTTTGATATCACCCTCCCACCCTCTCACCTCGATGAAAGCTTTGATCTCGCCCAGCACCAGGTTCCACTCCATCTGATCCTCCGGCTCGTACGTGCCCGTGTAGTCGTCGATCTGTTTGGCCAGCTCCTACATAGAGGAGACAGGACAACCAAAGTTGGGAAACTTACGTCTACGTGGACGGAAGTCCAATCTACAACACTACAGACTCCATTTGTTTTAGTAAGAGTTTTACGGCACTTGCAACACAATAAGGTCATATACATGCCAAAGATTAGAGGTGTTACAAGAGAGTAACAAACACAAAAAAGAAGGAGGGGAGATAGAGAAGATAGATTTTTTATAGGAAAGAAGGGGCAAACCACACCGGAGCACTCGCCAACCACCCACACTTACAGACTTCAACATAAGTTAACGACCACCTTGACAGACAGCCCAGATTTTTTTTTATCCGAAAAAAAAACAGCAAGGAAAGTTTCAAAATTGTTTTCTCTGAAAGTGTTCAGGGGTTAACAATGCGTACTGCCAAGCTTCTTGAAGGGGCAAAACCACCACGTGCAGCACGGAAATCCTGGGGGAATTTTTGCCAACTTTGCCAGCAGTCCTTAACTTGTGTTGAAGTCTGTACTTTGACAGCACTTTTTCCTCCTTCCTGTTGTAGCCTTACATGTGGAGGAGAGGTGCAATGTTCAGTCAAGGGCTGGGTGGGCGGCTTCTGCGATGAGACACGTTCTTCTATTGGGGGGATCTATTTGACGCTGTCTGTCCAAGTGTGTAACACGATCGTTAAAACGCGCAGTGACGATCAGTAAATAGCGCGGAACACAAGACACGTTATTCGGTTGGGGGGCCTATTTGACACTATTGGTCCACGTTTTTCGTGGTCTGCCCTGCCTTTGTAGAACGATTCTCTTGTGTTGTACACAATGGCATTTGTCAATAAATTAATGTCAGGAAAGATAACCTCTCTTGTCTTTCCGCTATTCTCCTAAGTAAACCAGAGCCAGACTTGCTGAACTCTTTAACTCCAGAAAACCGCTCCCAGCAGCTCGTGGTCAGAACCCCTGTGCCCGTGAGTCGCTGACAGCGGTTCAGGCACATTCCTTTACGACCACTTCGACATCAAATTACTTTCGGCAATTGCCTAAAACAGATTTCTTTTATCAGGAGTTGATTCATTAGACGAAGATCTATCAAAATAGGTTCACTTGTTTTGATATAATGACCCATTTCATAACATTTTTGTCAATTTTAGATTTAGTACCAAAGAAGGGGCCTTGCATAGTGGGTTCCCCCCCCCCCCCCCCGGAGATAAATAGTAAAAAGAAAAGAGCCTCAACAGAAGAGAAAAGAGAGAATAGATAGACACGAACGAACAATGTCTCTCCTTTCAAATACACTGAACAAGTCATCATCTCAAACCAGGGATACCTTGGGCAATCTCCTTCCTCTCTGTCTCCCGCCCCATCAAAGCTGAAGAAATACCCCTTTCTGCACCACCCCAGTTGTAATACCAGTCTTGATTCAGACCCGAAGTTGGCAATATAAAGAGGTTTGACTGTGGCCACTTTTCCTGCACATCACCTCTTACTGATTCAGTTCTCAGATCAAATCTCTTTTTCTTTTATCCGCTTTCTTTTTCCACCTCTGCTCAACGTGCATCAACATGTTACCGTTGGTGTTCACCTCCACCAAAGACACAACTTACAACTTACCCTGAGGGTGTGGTGGCGGAGCGGTTAGTGCGCTCGTCTCCGAAGCGGAAACTCCAGGTTCGAGCCTTGGTTTGGACACGCATTTTTTTCACCCTTCCTGCCCACCCAGCAGTAATGGATACCTGAGTTCGAGTTGGGGAAGTAAAGGCGGCGTGGAAAGGAACTGGGCTCCCTACCACAATATGCCGAAGACCCAAGAAGTTGTCTCACTAACAAGGCAATCCCCAATGTCCGGATCGGATGCGGGAACAACTTTAGTTGACAACTTACCCTGACCAAGTCTCTCACTAGCTTCATTTTCTTCAGGAGCAAACACACCACAATGAACCGTGCGTAATAGCGCAACTTCTTCACCATCAGGTCCGGTCTGAAGAAGAAAACAGAAAAAAAAACCAAAAAAAGATTGATTAAACACTTGCTCTACAAACAATAGAATTAATTTTCTATAATTCTTTCCATCAATAGTTTTCAATGAACAAAACTTCTTGCCTGACAACAATTTACTTTACCATCATAACTCTTATTGTTGCTGATCTGTGATTTCTTGTTTTTTAGTTTAAGTAAGAGCTTTACAGCACTTGCGACGCAATAATGTCATATAGTGCAGAAGATTATAAGTGCTGTAACAAGAGAGTAACAAACACAAAAAAGAAAGAGGAGAGAGAAGGACGATAGATGTTTGATAGGAAAAAAGAAGCAAACCACACAAGAGCACCTGTCAACCACCCACATTTTTTGTTTAGAAAGCAAAGATGAAATGGCATCAACTGCATTCGTTTAGTAAAACAAAGTAAAGTTCACAGATCACCTTACCGTTCTTCTTTACTGGCTTTGGAGTAGTAAGCTCTCATTCTGATGGCAGAGTAGAAGGAGAACGACTCGTTCAGGTAGTTGGTCTCGCTCGTTCTCAGGCTGGAGAAAACACAAACAAAAAAGATCATGTCTGTTACATCTTTACGGATCACAGCTGTGGGATAGGTCTCTCTCTCTCTCTCTCTCGCTCTCTCTGTCTCTCTGTCTCTCTCTCTCTCTCTCTCTCTCTCTCGCTCTCTCTCTCTCTCTCTCTCTCTCTCTCTCTCTTTCTTTCTCTCTCTCTCTCTTTCTCTCGCATGCCATCCCCTTTCTATACAGTTTTACTAACATTAGATTGATCAAGATAGAAAGAAAACTTTTTTTTAAATGCCTGAACAAAAAAAATGTGATTTTTAACTGCTTCTTAAACTCCCCAAAGGAACCCGAGTCTTTAATATATCTGGACAAGTTCTTCCACATCAGAGGACCATGGTACGAGAAGGAGCGCTGTCCATACAATTGGTACTTCACTTATAATGGCTTTTGTTTTAGTAAGGTTTTACGGCCCTCGCAACTGCATAAGGTCATATGAGCGCCAAGGAGTGGATGTCAACAGAGAAGTCCAAAGGGGGAATCAGGCTTACTCTGCTCACCTCTCTAGCTTCAACAGCACAAAGTCTGTTTTGACTATCAAGGTACCCCGGAAATAGCAGTTCACAAGAGAGTGACAAACATACAAAAGCAGTAGAGGAAAAATTGACGATAGTAACGTTGAGGAAAGAAAAAGCAGCAGTTCCCCCTATGTTGCTCAAGCACAGTATGAGCGTGACATTGATAAATCAGCCCATTTACAATTCTTCAGTGCATATGAACATGTGAATATCGCCCCCTTTGAAAATGGCCTTAAAGACACTTCAGTCAGTAGCCCTGCCCTGTGTTTGTGGGGGGGGGGGGGGGGGGGGGGGACGTATTGTTTCAGTAAAAATAATTTTATGACTGGAGAAAACAAAGAGATCAATGGCCATCTGTTGAAACACTTTTTTACTTTTTACAAACCAATGAGTATGAAAGGAGAGAAAAGACAGAAATGGAGATGAGAGTGCAGACAGCAGCCACATCAATAAGCCAGCCGTCTGTCCACTTACTAACAGTGATAATAAAGTTGTCCTGTCTGGCCGTCTGTCCACTTACTAATAATGATAATAAAGTTGTCCTGTCCAGCCGTCTGTCCACTTACTAATAGTGATAATAAAGTTGTCCTGTCCGGCCGTCTGTCCACTTACTAATAATGATAATAAAGTTGTCCTATCTTGGATGCAATCTCTCCAATTTGCCATCTCTTTAGGCCATACTTGAAGTCCAGAATTGCTCTGAAAACGAGCAACATAAAAAAAAATTATTGATGATTTTTTAAAATATACAGCCAGAACTGATTTCTATGTTATTTAAAAACTCTTACAATTTCAAAGAAACAATATTTTGTAAAACTGTCCACTCCAACTTCAATTTTTTTCAACAAACAATTGACCCACTGGCAAACTCCTGTGTAGATCTATTCAAAGGTTCCAGGATGTTAACATATTCAGTGTATTCTTATCAAATGTCGTAGTTATCAGATGTTTTGACTATTGTGAAAGACTTAACACGCCTGATGTATGGTAGGCTATGTGAAAGACTTAAGCATCACGCCTGATGTATGGTAGGCTATGTGAAAGACTTAAGCATCACGCCTGATGTAAACAGCAAAACAAGAATCATGGGGAGGAAGCTTCCCAAGAGTACAATATAAAATAGGGCTACAGAGATTTTCAGTTAGTTTTTCAGTTAATTGCTGCACATGTTTTTATACATGATGTGACATGCCGTTCCCTCATTTTTTAAGTACTTTGCACTCTTTATAACATTCAAATTTCTTAAATTATTCAAGCCTGAATGACTAAACAACCTGTGTTGTTGCTGGAATTTCCACAACTTGGTGTAGACGTCAAAAGTGCGACCAAAATAAGACTGCCATTGCTTGTGTCCATACTGGGGTAAATCTCTGAGGAGGGGAAAATATAAATATATAACTATTGCATGACAAACAACAGCTTCAGTAGCATAAATAAGAGAGGATTTGAAGGCAATTTGTGTGAAACAGACCTGGCACTTCAACAGAAAAGTGTTTATCATTGAATAAACGTTCAAAGAATGTCCCTGTTTATCCATTTTGGTTTGGTTTTATAAGTTGGGTTTTATTTTCCCAACCCACAAAAAATAGCCCTTCAGATTCCAATGGAGAGATAAGAAACAACAATTAGCCAACAGTATTTGAGCTATCTTTACAAGATGCTGTTTCAGTATGAGACTTTTTAAATAAATTTTACACGACTGTATTTTTTTGTCTTAGATAATTTAAGCCTACTTGGTGCAAATGACTTAAGTATCAGCAAAACTGATTTTGCTATTGAAATTTGGTGGAAATAAGATTGTACGTGATGTGGCAGAAAAAAAATGAGATCATGCGTCATCAACAAAAAATACAACACTTAGATTTAACAGTGGTCGCTGGTAACGGAAGTCCTCCCAAATATTGAATTATATTGTATGGATTGTTGACAAACTATACTAAAATCTATAATATTCTATAATATTCCTAGAGTCTCATATTATGGGGACTAGAGCTAAGTTCTTGTCTTGGTTCTCTACTCATTCTGGACTAGGGGAATCTAGATCTAGATATCTAGATCTTCTAGAGTCTAGATAAATAATAAGTACCCTGTCTCTAATAGATCTACTATATTAACTCTTGTCCTGCGTCTGTGCTGAGATGCGAATCTTATCAGCAATCGATTACTTCAGACATTCCGGGCAGGCCGCCGGGGTCACTCAGTGTGTACTGTTGGTGTACAGCGCGCACGCCGGGAAACGTGAGTTTTCGCCATGAATACCGTGGGAGTGTGTTAATCGACGAAAATAACGCTAAATGTTTCATAGCTTTCTATAAAAAGTGTTACAAACACATGAATAACCCCCTCTCATAAGCTGATAAGACATTACGAGTAGTTATGCCCATTCGAATAACCTTTCTTGCCGCTCTTGTTAGTTTTAGTAGAAGTTTTACGGCGCTCGCAACTGCATAAGGTCATATGAGCGCCAGACGCTCTTGTTGTTATGAATGACCTGGGGTTCGAAAGGGGATAATATAGGTCAATTTCCGAATGTTTTGAACTCTAATTGTTCTTTGTACCTGCACAATGGTATTCAATATTATCAAATAGGCTAAGCTTATTTTTTATCAGGTAGTATCATTTCATACAAAATCAAGCTCATTTTAAAAAGTTCATATAGAAAAATGGAAGTCTTGTTTCCTGACTATCCTTTTGAGCATGAGATGTATGCCTCGGTTACGAACCAACGCAGGCCGTTCAAGAAGAAGGCCACAAACGCACACAAACTCAAGTAGACTGACGTACGCACACTCACTTGAGCTACCTGAATGCGGATCCGACTCAGGACCCGAATGCAAGGGGAGATAGTGCACGGCGCACATGCGCTGAGCCAGGGGCAAGACTGACGCAGGACCAGAACGCAGGCGAGGTGCCGAAATAGGCTTATCGGGCGACATAAACCCGGCCCCCGTAGGACGAGGGTTAAATAAGACAATAAGTAAGTAAGTTTAGTAGATTTATGCCTAGACACAATCGAGATTCCAGCCCCATAGCAGTCCCAATACAGAAATTCTCAAGTCCTTCAGTGCTGATGGTAAAAAACACATAACATTCACCTGAGACCATTAAATAATTGTTTTGACTTCTCCAAATGGTGGCAGAATTCATTCACGATCTTCTTCTCGTTTTCGTCTAAATTTTGGCCGTCAGTCGCCATGATTGTTTTCTAGTTACAACATACTCTGCTACCAAATGGTTTTGCATAAAATTACATTATTATATATATCAAAATTTATATTCATTCCAATACATATATGAGCAATATCCTAAATTTTAATTTGATTAATAAATAGTTAACAAAAGAGAAAAGTATTGACAAAACAGTTGACGGGGAGATGGAAAAAATATAAATAATGAGGTCAAGAGTATAAGAAGAACGGAAATTTCCGAATAAAATGGCTATGTGTATGTAAGGGGCAACACCGGTTAGGAGGGCCATAATGTGAGCTGACAGCATTAGCAAGTTGGAGCAACGTTTTCAGCGTGTCATTTGGACACTTTATAGGCATGTCTGGAGACTTTTATTTCTTCTATTGTTTTTAAAGGTAAACATGCAAATTGGTGAACAGCCATATCGAATACTGTTCAAAATCGTAATATAAATACATGTATTACATTTGTGTCTTGAAGAAAGTTTGGTTTTTTTGTCTCATTTTAGATAGACTTAGCTTTGCAATTTGTCAGCATCTTTAGCTTAGAACAACCAAGCTCCGGTTGCAGTTAATGGTTATTTTTACAAGAAGAAACTTTTTGAAGAAAAAAATGCCAACGTGAAAATAAGAATTAATGAAGAGAGGTATGAAGGTTTATTAGTTCAGAGTCTACGTGTTTTAATTGTTGTCTTTCTAGCTTTTGGGGTGTATTTGTTTGTTTGTTTGTTTGTTTGTTTGTTATTGTTGTTGTTGTTGTTATTGTTGTTGCTGCTTTTGTGTGTGTGTGGTTGTTGTTGTTGTTTCTGTTGTTGTTGTTGTTCTTGTTGTTTTTGTTCAGTTTAGTTTTTTGCTGTTGTAGTTTGTTTTTTATTTTTTGTTTGTTTTTTGTTTGTTTTTGTTTGTTGGTTTTGGTTGTTGTTGTTTTTTTTGGGGGGGGTACATGGAATAAAATCAGACTGAAGAACAACACTCAGCACTGATCTCATCTTTTTATTGAAAACAAAGTCAGACCGATTTGATAGCAATCTAAAAATACATGTTATTGCAGGCCTTACAGTGAGTAAGATTAATTACGCTCAATGTCGTCTGTTGTGAACTCTGTAGACTCGGAAAAATTTGATAGGCCTACATCAAAATAAAATTTCTTTCGAAAATATAATTTTTGTTTGTTGCGTGTCTTGTCATGTACAATGTTGTACCTCTCTCACGCAGTCTTTGCGCTTTCTTTTATTTAGAAAATGATTGGTCAAGCAATGTATTTCCATCTAGAGTAAAAGCTCCACAGCTTTCATCCATATGAACTTAGATGTCTCTCAAAGATTTTTAAAATTAAACATGACAAGACGAATAATATTGTCAGATCACAAGTATTGGGAGTTCAGGAATTCCGCAATACGTTTCGGCTGCTCCGATAATCATTCGTCTTGCTACATTGATAATAATAATATTGATCATTTTATCATGTAGTTCGCGTCGATCATTAACTGATGACCACATTCAAGAAGGAAAAAAGGGCCCTCGTGGCATTTAATAGTTCCTGGGCTCGAATCCGGATAGCGACGGAACATTTTCTTCTCTACAATTTTCTCCTTTCACATCCTTTCCTGTTCTGTAACAACTTTCCGTTGTCTGCTTTCGTCTGCACTTTCTGCTCCCACCCCTCACCTCCTTATTCTTCCTCTGGGCTCATGACTTTTTCTGTGGTCTTTCTACTGCTTCTCTTCTGCTCCTTCTTACTGGTGTCCTTCAGCCACACCCTTGATCTTATTCTAGATGAGATCTTCACCTAGCCTTCTCGGATAAGGACGAAACATCTCGGAGGCCATGTGTGCAAGTTATGCAGTTTAAAGATCTCTTAGCGGTCCAAAATCGATAAGAATAGGCTTCAGACGTCATTCGGGTGAAATTTAAAAAATCCTACCGACTGAAAATGTTTAATGTGTCCCGTGTTCTCATATGACCTTGAGGCTATACTCGAATATTGAGTCCCTGTGAGTGAGTACACACTTTGGTAGTTGTTGAATGCTCGACATTACTCGAGTACTCACGAGCATCAAGTCCAAAACCTCTGAGTATTCGGGTAATTATTCGAGTGCATTAAAGTAGAAGCAAATATTTGGCGAGTCTCATCGTTCTTATTTGTTGCTACACATTGTTTTTCTTTTTCTACTTTATCTTTGTGCAATATTCAAATCATTCCTTTTATTTTTTGTTTTGTTTTTGTATTACTTTCTATATTAACTATACAATAAGCTGCACAATTAGCAGTTCAAATTCAACAAAGATCGGAAAAAATCAGCAATGGTATACACTTGTTTGTTTGTTTCGGTAGATGTTTTACGGCACTATGTAAACATTTCCTAGCATTTTAAAAAGTAGCTCCCATTTTTGATCAGACAAAAGTGTGCTTGTTGATTTATTAGCTAAAATTCCTTTAGGTTTACACTCCGCTAATGTTTTTCGTAATCTCTCTCTCTCTCTCTCTCTCTCTCTCTCTCTCTCTCTCTCTCTCTCTCTCTCTCTCTCTCTCTCTCTCTCTCTCTATCTATCTATCTATCTCTCTTCCAATCTCTCTCTCTTTTCTCTCTCTCTCTCTACCTCTCTCTCTCTCTCTCTCTCTCTCTCTCTCTCTCTCTCTCTCTCTCTCTCTCTCTCTCTCTCTCTCTCTCTCTCTCTCTCAATCTCTCTCTCTCTCGGAATCTTTCGTAAACCTGTAGGCTCTTGCTACACGTCGGTGTTCATATTTTGAAAATAAAAAGGAGGAGGGAGGGGAGGGGGGGGGGGTAGATGTAGATTAGTGATTGGCAAATAACATGATAAATAATGTCTGTATAATATAAAATTGAGCCTATTCTCAAGCTTCGAATACTCAAAAACTCACTCGAGTATTTTATAAGTACTCGGGCTGGAGTCCAAAATACGGACGGACTCGGACATCCCACAAACCGGTGTCTGTGACACACTGTAGAATTCTGTGCTGTGACATGACCCAACGCTACGCAGTAGATCTGAGTTCGATTTCCGTAGTGGGATTGGGGGTGTTCCATCAAGTATCCCGGTATTTCGGTAAATATCCAATTCTGCACGTTTTATTCAGATTTGATGGAATGTGTGGTTGCACGGTAAGGGCAACGATCCTATTCTTGTAGTGTGAGGATCTTTGTTGGTAGACTAACTCGGGTTAGCCGAGTAGACTCGGGATTGTTTTGCTCGGATGTTGTGTCCGCCCGGATTGGCCCCGCCCCGCCCCCTCCCCTTGCCCCGCCCTCGGCACCACCCCCGCCATCCTGATGGCAAAACCACCTTAAATTCTTTGTTTCATTTTGTCTGTGTCCAAAATTAAATAGTAATACATGTTCAGTGAAAAGTTATCTCTTCTTAGGTCTACTCTTTGAACATCATGGCCAGAAATTAAATTAATTGACGAGATTTATTATTATTTTTATTTATTTCTTCAAAATATAGATCTAGATCTATATCTAGATTATTCTTTGCGACGCATGAGAAAACAATCCTGTTTATAGTGATTTTCGCCCAGGTTAAATTGTTATGCTGTCTAATTGAAGGATTAGCTCTACACCTGACATTAAGTAGGCCTAGACTATTAAGATACAACTGGCTCTTTAAGGTACGACTAGTCCTTTAATGTTATGTCCTGACTGTGTTGTAGTGCGCTAATTACCTACGTCCGTTGTGAATGCAAATGTGTAGGCCCTAAGCATGTCAAATCGTACCAGCAGACGACGCCGCGACTTCGACGAAGTAGGGCACCCAGATAACGGAAATGTCTATCATCCGGTGGTCATGCTGCTTTTACCCAACATTATTCTTCGCCCTGGATTCTGACAGTTGGTGTAGGTCTAGTAACGTGTTCTTTGCGTTTGCAGAGATTGACAGCAGACTAAAAACTGATCAACTCGTTGCTGTATCGGGGCGTCCAGTTGATATAAATAGCATAATAAGATAACCGTGGGTCCTTGAACATAGCCTGTTCACCGACCCAATTTGAAAGATCGGGTTTGTTTCATTATAAAAGCGGGTACTCGGTATGCTGAGGTCTTTCTGTGCCTTGTCGCGGAGCGTGGCAGGACGAAGCGGCTGTAGAGGGAATTCCAAGCCAAAGTCTAAGGATCAGCTTTGTTGGCCAAGTGCTGGCCACGCCGGTTTCACGGACCCGTCCAAGATGTCACAACAACGGTGTTCGAGTGGTGACCATGACTACGAGGTTTGTCAATTATTTCGAAATAATGCAAGGTCTGTTAGTGTCGTTCTTATTCTATTCGTGCAGACCAGAACTTGTTTAGTTTAGAATCCAGATTCCATAGAACTGGAACCGGGCCTAGATCTACGTCTAAGACTTATTCTAAGGTTATACATGATGTAATGCACACGAGTGGAAGAACACAGCTGGATGAACCGAGTCTAGCCTAAGCCTAAGCCCTAAGCTACTCTTCTAGATCAAGAACTATCTCGCCCTTCTCTGCACGTGCACGATTGGCCTCTAGAATCTAGATAGATAATTTCTAGAATCTAAATCTAGATCTAGATCTAGATCTAGATGTAGAAAGGAATCTAGACTAAGCTAGGCCTATATTCCTATATTTACTATAAGGAATTCGTTACTATAAAGATCTAAAATGTCTGGACAGATCAAGAGTTATGTAAGGAAAAGTAAAATGAGAAAAGTGAAAGAATAGGGAAGCGCAAATATTCCTTATAGAGGAACAGTATTGGATGAAGCCTGATCGATAGTGACCATAGATCTGGCTTGTCTTGTCTTGAGTCTGTAGAGAAGAGTTTAGAGTGTTGTTTTCTCTGTAACGTGTTGGCACCTTGTAACTTGTTTTCAGTTAATTTGGTCCCTGGCCATTATGCCCTCCCCAAAAAAAAAAATTTTTCTAAAAATTAGCATTGAGATTTCACAAATGGTCTAGAATCTAGATATCTAGATCTAATCTAGATCAGATCTAGATCTAGATCAAGATATTTTATATTTTCCCTTCTCAATCAATCATCCTTGGGAATACACACTGGTTGTGGTGGATATTGTGTAGGGAGCTCTTTACTCTGTTTTTTAGTTTAGAAGTTTCCCGAATGGTGCAAATTACTTTACTTTTTCAGCAATAGAGAGGGATCCGAAGAATAGCAGGACCAATGACTTGAAATCTTAAATTGTGAGGCAAAAAAAGACTTTTATAAACTTTATAAATTGCAAGGCAAATGACTTGAAATATTTCATGGGCCACCAAACAAAATTTTGTTTGTAGATTTATCAAACCAGCTTGTATATAGTAGGGCCTATACTGCCGTGCCAAGGCAGACCGACGTATCTGCACAAATTATTAATTTTTGTATCTACGTTTAAATGGACGCCTATACCCATTCTGCATCTTGTGTCAAAGGCAGGAAGACGTATCTGCACTACAAATAGGAGATTTCACTATGGCAAACAGACGTAACTGAACTTGGCAAACAGACGTAATGAAGGGCCATGCCCATATTTCCAATGGCAGCGCGATGTTACTCAAAGTCATAAAAAGTGCAGATACGTCGCTGTGCCGTGGCACGGCATGGCATATTTGTTGCCCGTATATAGTGCAGTCAAAAATTTGTGGTGCAACTTAATTATTGTCAAATATCTCCTCAACTATCAAACACCGACTCTCCAACTTTTGCACAGTGACTTGTATCAATTGGTCTTATTTAACAGATCAATATTTTTGTAAACACCTGTTAGCTCTACTATTATAATTCTAGAAAATTCCTTAATAATTACTAGACTCTAATAAAAAATCAGAGAGGGTGGTTTCTACAGATTTTAAAAGGTTTACAGCAAGGGCAATGTCGTTATTAAAAACAAGTCTATCATTTTATTCTAACCGTGACACTATCTTTATGATCGCAGGATTTGAGAACCTTTAGTGCAAAAAATGTGTTCACAATAAAATCAATTTCTTGTAACAAGTTTTGCCTCTAAAAAGTGTCATTGGTGAGCTGTGACGTAGGCCATATATATGTGTATACAAAATGTGTGCTAGGAGCGGGAAGTGCTGTGAACAATTCCATTTTCTGTATGATAAAGATTATAAATAGTATTCTATATTAATTTATTAAGAAAAGTTTTTTAATCTAGCTTCAAATGTTGTGGAAAAATATGATTAAGTTAAGACAAATTGATGCAAACTGCTGTGCAAAATATAGATGACATTGATTCACCCGTTAAAGAGATATTTGAGGATACGTTGCACCACAAATTTTTGACCGCACTGTAATGATTTTTATCTGGCTGACTAGTTCCTAACAAGCACAAGTAGTGATAAATTGTTTCCACCTCTTTCAAGGTAAACTTTAAATAAAAGGTTACAAAATCCCCACATTTCGGTGATATGCTCTATTTATAAACAGTGTTATCCTCTCTGTCTTTAGTTATTTACAGTTCTTGGACCTTTTGAATTTGATTTGTTTTATGTCTCCCCCCCCCCCCACCCCCCCTCAATTGTTGCACTGCTGGTCATTGTTACTGGTTTTTCAACTGCATTGTTTTAGCTTGCCTGTCAGCAGAAATTGTTTTTGTTCTTCTATCAGAATGCTGTCAAGCAGTTGTACCGCCTTCAATCCAACGCTGAAGCCATCATGAAAGCCAGACAACAGAAAGACAAGACTCTCAATATCCCAAATATGGTGAAGTACCTCCAACGCTCTGGGCTTTCAGTAAGTGCTCTCACTCTGTCTGCATGTATGTATCTCTATATAGATGTTCTCTGTCACTAGATCTTATGTGGCTGGTTGGCGGGTGCTCTGGTGTGGTTTGCTCCTTCTTTCCTATCAAACATCTGTCGTCCTTATCTCCCCTCCTTCTTTTTTGTGTGTGTTACTCTCTAGTAACACCTCTAATCTTCGGCACTTATTATATGACCTTATTGTGTTGCAAGTGCCGTAAAACTCTTACTATAACTAAAACAAGATCTTACCTACCACCCTCCCAGCAGCGAGCTTTTCCAGAGTATGACAGCTGATGCGTGCGTGTGTGTGTGTGTGTGTGTGTGTGTACGTGAAAAAGAGACACAGGCCTTGTGTGGATGTGTGTGGGTACTTGTAGCATATCTACAGTGGGTGATTGGCGGGTGCTCTGGTGTTGTCTGCTCCTTCTTTCCTATCAAACATCTGTCGTCCTTATCTCCCCTCCTTCTTTTTTGTGTTTGTTACTCTCTTGTACAGGGGCGAAGGCTGACTTGTTTGACAGGGTAATCAAAGTGAAATGGGACCAGATAGGGCCTGTAGATATCACACAAGAATCTTACTCGAGGCGGCGACTCTGAGTTGTGAATGAAAACAAATCCGGAATTCATATTGTATGTTCAACCGCCAAAATAATCGGGAAAGTATCTTATTAAATATCAGTTCCCACTAAAATTAAACTTAACTTTAGATGTGAATACATAAACATAAAGCAAAGAAGCAGAGACGTCAGTACTAGATCTATATGTTATAGATCTACCAGTGAGTCTAACTCTTTGGTAGAACATGACAATTATTATTTTTTAAATTTCACATTTGGCTGTTTTTGTTAGCCTTTCGCGGCCAGGAGCTGGTGTCATAATCGAGGTCACGATCTGATTATAGGACGGTAAAAAGTCGAGGAAAAAAAACAAGCACAAGCAGCAGTCAAGAGATTATTAAGAGTTAGTTCCCCTCACATTTGTGAGGTAGACTCGACCAGTGTTAGTTAGCCTACTTAATCAGGGCTTGTGATTGATTTTAACTGTGGCCCCAAAGGGGTGAACAGGGTATATGTGGCAATGAAACAGCTTTGACTGCCATGCACATGTTCCCTTCAACTCTATTCCAGCCTCATTTTATTTGTTGATTACGAACGTCTTTTGACATTTAATTTATGAGGTTTACGTTTAAGGATGAATTTGACAGCGACAATGTTTCAAAATTAGAAAGGGAAGCAGTGATTATTTGATTATATAGACGCTTCGCCCCTGCTCTTGTAACATCTCTAATCTTCGGCACTTATATGACTTTATTGTGTTGCAAGTGCCGTAAAACTCTTACAAAAAACCAAGCACATCCACTGTTTGTGTTGCTGGAACAGGTGGAAGCATCCTGTCTATTTTGTTTTGCTTTAGGGATGAGCAAAATTTGTCTAGTCTTCGATTACCATTTACCACGTTCAACAAGTGAAAACGAGTAGACATGCCTGCTGCTATATTTTTAAAATGTCCAATCATCAATGGTAGTGTAGACGTGGTGAGATATAAACTAGGAGTTAGGATCATGTGAGAGTTGGGAAGTGTAGACGTGGTGAGATATAGGCCTACTAGGAGTTAGGATCATGTGAGAGATGGGAAGTGTAGACCTGGTGAGATATACTAGGAGTTAGGATCATGTGAGAGATGGGAAGTGTAGACGTGGTGAGATATACCAGGAGTTAGGATCATGTGAGAGATGGGAAGTGTAGACGTGGTGAGATATACTAGGACTAGGAGTTAGGATCATGTGAGAGATGGTAGTGTAGACGTGGTGAGATATACTAGGAGTTAGGATCATGTGAGAGATCGGAAGTGGGTCGTAGTTTCTATGCGTGTCATCATTTCTAATCCTTCCGTTGCTCCTGCCAGATGTGATAAGCTGGTGGTGGTAGATCTAGTAGATATAGATGAAAAACGCCAGAAGATCTTTGCATATTTTAACAAATGTCCCGAATTTCCGGAGACTCCCAGATTGGCAATGAGGAATATGAGAGCCTTGTCACACACACAACACCAAAACTCATTTCACTTGATGTCATTTTGTTTGTTGTTACGTCCTCAGATTTTATCGTGTGGTTTTTCCCTGTTTATGTTTTGAAAAGGTTGACAAGCCTGATTTAAAAGCATGCATGAGAGTGAGTGAACAATGAGTAGCAATTGATATGAATGGAAAAAAAGATAATCGTGCTGTTAAAATATTTTCTGTGGAGTCCCATAGTGACATTGAACAGTGACTACAAATTCTTATTTCTGTCAGTTTTTGCCTGTCTTTAGTGCAGGAGTATATTTGTGGGACCATTATTTTATCTCTTGCTTCTACAAAACAGCGACTGGTGAAGTTTCCATACATTACAAGGTATGCAGGAGACAGATTGTGATCCATTTTTAACATAATGGTTCCTAGTAAAAGTGGGTGGATTTTCAAAGTTTAACCAATGAGGGTGGAGATATTCTGGGCTCTAATGTCTTACTTTGTCCCCAGCTTGTTCTCGCAGATCTCGGATTCACTCTTGCGTCTCTCAGAGAAAAATTTATAACATTGCGACAATGGCCATCCTTCCCGAAAAGTTAGGATAAGTTCCCAAAATTATCTTTGCATGGCTTTTGCTTAATTTGTCCTCCGTTATGAAATTATCAATCCAGAATCATCCCTTGTGTCATCCACTTTAGAATTCTAAAATAGGAGGGGGGGGGGCATATTCAACCTCATACCCCTTCACTAGTAGGAGCAAATATTTTTAAATTCTCCTTTAGTAAATAAAAAGACAAGAGATTGTGAAATTTTGTGACTTTAGTAAGTTACTGTGACAATCTTTCCCATTCAGGAACAAACCAGTTTCATTAAAAAAAATATAAACCAATGTACAAAAGTTTTTAAAATGCACAGAAAATTGAGGTAGCCAACCCGGTACCGGTACTAATACTGGGGGTAATTTTCCCCTTACAAAAAAGAAAAGAAGTTTCATTCGGATATCTAAATTCTAGATATAATGTTTCACATGATCGTCGGTCGTGGCAAGCTGGAAAGGAAAATAGTAAACGGGGGGTATGGAATAATGAGCAGGGG